CACCCAGCACTCTTCCCTGCCTATGCAGGGGGTCAGACTCGATGATCTCAAGCAAATCCCGGGACGTCTCAAGCAAATCCCGGGACGTCTCTCAAGCAAATCCCGGGACGTCATTCTCCCCCTGTACTCGGCCTTAGTGAGGCCGCAGCTGGAGTACTGTGTCCAGTTTTGGGCTCCACAATTCAAAAAGGATGTGGAGAAGCTTGAGAGAGTCCAGAGAAGAGCCACGCGCATGATCAGAGGTCAGGGAAGCAGACCCTACGATGACAGGCTGAGAGCCCTGGAGCTCTTTAGCCTGGAAAAGCGCAGGCTCAGGGGTGATCTGATGGCCACCTACAAGTTTATCAGGGGTGACCACCAGTATCTGGGGGAACGTTTGTTCACCAGAGCGCCCCAAGGGATGACGAGGTCGAATGGTCACAAACTACTTCAAGATCGTTTCAGGCTGGACATAAGGAAGAATTTCTTTACTGTCCGAGCCCCCAAGGTCTGGAACAGCCTGCCACCGGAGGTTGTTCAAGCGCCTTCATTGAACACCTTCAAGATGAAGCTGGATGCTTATCTTGCTGGGATCCTATGACCCCAGCTGACTTCCTGCCCTTTGGGCAGGGGGCTGGACTTGATGATCTTCCGAGGTCCCTTCCAGCCCTGATGTCTATGAAATCTAGCTATTTAAAAAATCTGATTTACTTTCATTTTAAAGGCTGAGTTACTACAAGTTAGCTTTCATGTACTGCAGGATAAAAACATGCACACAGGCATGAAGAGCAGCAGACCTGCTGTGGAATCTTGCTGTTCTTTACCCCACACTAGCATCAATTCTTGTGAATCAGTTTCTCTCCAATTTTGCCTAGAAATTCTATTCTGGAGCTCAGAAACCTTATTTCAACAAAACCTCATCAAAACTAGTATAGTCTTGTGAAAAATCATTTTAATTTGAAAATTCTCACCTAACTCTATTCTGGAAGAAATCCTGGCTCACAGTATGTAAACCTGAATTCAAAAGCTCATAGGCTGCAGAAAAAGCAATTGAATCTGAGCTGTATAAAACTGGCAAGATTAGATGAGGATTAAATGTAAATTCCTAAATAAATACCAGATTTACACTTACTACTGTTTTTTTCTAGCATATACATGCCACGATCTCCATAGAGGTAGGAACAACCTGGTGTCCTCCACCAGGTATTCATTTTGTGTTTGGATGGACAGCTGTATCAGTCGCACCGTTTGTTTGGGAGCACATGAAATGGGTGAATTTATAATAATCTTCAGTTATTGTGAACAACTGTTTTTCTATATAGGACCAGAGCACATATCCAAATATGGTTAGGTTAGTGGTGCCCAACATTTTGGCCCTGCAGGCCAGATGAGTGGCACAGGACCAGATGAAACTCCATGCTCCAGGATGGGCCTACATACCCAGATTGGCTCCCTTGTGTCAGGATTGCATCTTGGGGTCCTGCACTGCTCTCACCTGGCTCCAGTGCCAGGTTCAGGCCTTGCACTACCCTGTTTGCCCAATCTAACATGCAGGGCCTTAGCCCATGGGGCTTCCCTGGGCCAGATGGCATGGCATCAGGGGACAGATCTGGCCTGCGAACCAGGGTTTTCACACCACCAGGTTAGGTGAATGACAGTAAATGTTGAAGGCAGAAACAGGCTAACATCTTATTCCTTACTCGGTCTATAGTCTATATAATTATTGAAACAACATATTCAGAGCTGTTATTTCTATGGTAGACTATTGCAGTCAACTGTTGTCTGTATAAACTCTCTGAGCTTCTGCTCATAAGAAATATTGGCTGAATGTTGCCGAACATTATGAAGAGATCGTTCTCCCAGCTCAAATTGCTAGAGCTTAGGGGATAACAACACTAAATGCAGGCATTCCTTAAATGTTCAGTTGTATGCAACTTTCTTCTCTGTTTTTTGCCTTTTTAATTATACTTACCTGTCTTTTTTACTAAATTTGCCCCAGTCTTTACATAAGAAGTGATTGAATGTTCTGTGGTGCAGTCCAGAGTCAAATAATTTCTTCAGCCAAATGCACATAGGGCCACACCGTTTAATGTTAAATTTTGACTTCTCCACAATCCAGCTTGTCTTTTTTTCTCCCCTTTCCCCACCTCCCAGGCTCTTTCTTGGGAAGAGACTTGCATATTATTTTTGTATGGGCAGTCTTTCATATTGTACTATATTTTCATTTATGGGATGTGACTTTATAAAAAATACTCTTCAATTTTAGTGGCTACAATAGTCATATGGTAGGTGTCTGTTTTGTAAAATTGGGCAGAGTTTATCATTACTCCAAATCTACAGCTTTGTTTTGATTAATAAAAAAAAATGAACAAGTACTTTAAAGGTAGGTGGCTGCAAACCAATGTTGGCAAGAAAGAAGAGCCCTTAAAAGCTTAATTTGGGTTAAAAGCTTTCAGGCAGTGCATGTCATGCTGGTAGGGGAGGAAGTTTTCAAAGAGCAACTTATATTTGTGTATCAGGGAATTTCTATAGCTTTGATTGTTAACATCTTTGAAAGTTGGCCTTGTCTCTATAGTATAAAATTTGCCTGGTGGCTCTTAGCTAAAAATGAAAGGCCCCCTTCTTCCCCAGTTCAGGTAGTGTTGACCTAGTTCTGAAATCTGAGAACCAAATCAAATTAATTCAGTTGGTTTCCAGCTTCCTGGCTGTTGGAAGGGAAAGGAGGGAGACTTCTCTTTTTTTTTTTTTTTTTGCTCTTGTGTCTGGAGGAAGCTGAGCCTGAGTGTTAAAAAAAAAAAAAAAAAAAAAA